TCTGGGAGTGGAAGTCCACAAAAGTTGGCTAGGGAATTCTGGGAGTTGAAGTCCACAAATGTTGGCTAGGGGATTCTGGGAGTGGAAGTCCACAAATGTTGGCTAGGGAATTCTGGGAGTTGAAGTCCAGAAATGTTGGCTAGGGAATTCTGGGAGTGGAAGTCCACAGATGTTGGCTAGGGAATTCTGGAAGTGGAAGTCCACACATCTTCATGTTGCTAAGGCTGAGAAACATTGCCTTATGGAATGGAATGGAATGGAATGGAATGGAATGGAATTCTGCAAATTATTTATTTATTCAGTCAATTTCTGTAGCCCCCCCCCCCCAATCTCAGCAAATGATTCTGGGCGGCGACCAAAGTTTAAAATAAAAGTTAAAACAATTGCAATCATGACTCCCAAAATTAAACTACAGAGCAATCGAGGAAAATACAGCAGTCCCTAACACTAGCAGGAGATGGGTCCTTCAAGCGCTGGGCAGAAAGCTTTAGGATCTTACAAAAGTCCAGGAGGGTCAGGGCCAACCTGATTGTTCAAACATGCTTTATTTTTAGGAATGGGACCTCAGCATGCCATGCAGATAGCTGAACGGCTTTATACCCAGGGTTATATTAGCTACCCTCGAACAGAAACGACCCATTATCCTGAAAACTTTGATTTGAAAGGCTCTTTGCGTCAACAAGCTAATAATCCGTATTGGGCTGAAACAGTAAGTATTTGAAATTCATCTCATCACTAGCAGACGCTTAAGAATCGATCCAGACCTAAACCCACCCAAACAGAGAATGGACCTGCGTGATACAGAAAGAGCCCTGGAATTAAGAACCGGGCTGATTTTGTGCATTCTTGTGTGCTAATAGAGCGAAACGCTTGGGATAAAATATAGCTAACTTTACTTTGCTCCAGTCCCCTTGCAATTTGGCCAGACGGGAGCTGGATGTGTGGCTTTTGGTTCATGCATGCTGTCTCTGGTTTTCTCCCAAGGTCAAAACTTTATTATTGGAAGGTATTAACAGACCAAGGAAAGGCCACGATGCTGGAGATCATCCCCCGATCACGCCAATGAGAGCTGCCTCCGAAGCAGAACTAGGTGATTGGTTGTTCATTTTTGCAAAACGCTCTAGAAACATTATGGGCATTTCAGCCTTCTACAGCTTGATCCAGGGTTTCTCAATCTCAGCAACTTTAAGATGTGTGGACTTCAACTCCCAGAATTCCAGGAGCTGAAGTCCGTGCATCTTAAAGTTGATAAGGTTGAGAAACCCTGGCTTGGTCACTCTAGGTGAACAGGGATTCTGTGCAGGCGAGTGAACAGACTGGCAAAGGAGAGATAGATGGGTCTAAGGTTCTTTCACCAGTTTGCTGGGTTTCACCTTAATGGGAAGTCTGCAACCGACTGCCAGATGTGGGGGGGAGATTAAGCTGTCCTTTCCTCTGACAGTACACTTTGGCAGGACATCTGGAGGGCATCAGGTTGGAGAAAGCGGCTACCTGTGCAATACAAACCAAGAGGGACACATAGGTTGGTTTTAACTGTGTTTTTTGAATAATTCTTTTAACCATGGGGTGTTGAATAACCAGATCTGGAAGAAAAGGATTATGGAAGTAAAAAATATTTTTAAGAATGAGGGGATGTTGTCTTTGTTTAGATGGCTCTTGGTAAAAACATGGAAGTTCTTTGCCTTTTTTTTTTCCAGTAACATTTTGCTAAATGAACATTTTTATTCCATCTACCTGAAGAGCATTGTAAAGGAACGTAGAGATGACCTTCATGGGACTTTCTCTCCATTAAGGGGAGAAGGAAAGAGGAAGCTGTTAAGGGGAAAACTTGGGGGGAAAAAATAATACAATCCTGAGAAAGAAGAAAGTGTGAGAAAGAAGCTCAAGAGAATCCCACCTTGATTTTGTCTAGTATAAGATGGATCGGAGAGGAACCTGGACAGCAGATTTTGTTATTCTACCTTGTTACAGTAAAGAGTGTTCCTGGAATCCCTGTTGTGCCTGTTTCTTGAACTGACCTACCTCAAAGGCTGACCCACATCTGTGTATTTCCAGGGGGTGACGGATGGAGGCTATATGAATACATTACAAGGCATTTCATCGCCACTATCAGTGCGGACTGCAGATACCTCCAAACTACCATCGCGTGCAGCGTCGCGTCGGAACGTTTCACCTGCATAGGAAAGACTGTTCTTTCTCCAGGTAAGAAAGAAGGAAGACATGGCGGGCCACCTTCTTCCTCACATTTCAGCTGGGAGAATTCATCTATCTGTTAATGTATGGGGGATGATGGCTAACCCTAAAGGGGTTCAGAAAATGCAGATTGCATTTCATTCTCCTAAGTCCTGGAGTTTTTGCAGAAGGAACTTTCAGAGGGGTGTTATGTCCTGTTGTGACATGTTCTACACTGAGGCTGTATTAAAGAGGCACATTTTATGGCACTCTGAAAACTCAACAGGAAGGAAGCAGACCAGTAACTGCAGTTTCTCAGAGGGAGGGCCACCACTGAGAAGACCTGATTATGGGTCCTGCAGATGAACCTCAACATGAATGAATCCCCAACAGGCTTTTAACGCTACCTTCTTCTCTTCTCTTTACCTGTCTCTTGTAAATGACCATTTCATTCTTGGCACAGATTTCATTTCCTTTGTTATTGTTCCATAAAGTTTGGGGTAAAGCTTGGTAAGATGGGGTCACTTGAAGTTTTGTATGTTTCAGTTTTCACAGTCAGCTTATCCTTGGGCAATCCACAGATTATCCATTTTTCATGGTATTTTGGTTAAAAATGTGAAGGTCAGCTTATCTGCAGTTGGGCTTATTATCCGCGAATATGCTATATACTTTATATTTAAAATATATAGTATACTTTAAAAAGTATTTTAAAAAAGAATTACCATATATACTCACGGAGAAGCCTAGCTGCGGATAAGCCGAACCTGATTTTGGGGGTGCGTTTTGGCCCCTAAGTGCTCGGCTTATTCCCAAGTATATACTGTATGTTAAAAGGGATTTGCCCCTCTCTTTTTCTCAGGTTAGCCCCTATCGAAATCCTAGCCACAACCCACCTTACTTACTCTTTTTAAAGGTTAGCTAAGATTAGTTCTGTCTTACCCTTTGCTTTTTTTTTTTAATTCACTGCAGGGTTTACCGAGATTATGCCTTGGCAAAATATTCCGGCAGAAGAGAGCCTCCCCAGTTGTGACAGCGGGGACCTCTTCCCTGTGAGTGAAGTGAAGCTCTTGGAGAAGCAAACCAGCCCCCCCGATTACTTGACAGAAGCTGAGCTTATCACTCTGATGGAGAAACATGGGATAGGTAGGGAATTCACTTTCTGGTGGCATGTTTAGCACCAGGGGGTGGAAAGGGAATCTTCATCTTTCTTTGGAGAATGGTTATCTCGTGTTTCTTCTAAGGTTTACATGGTATCGGGGGCTGATGATAGAAAGGGTGGCTTGGAAGGAGCCTGTATGGATGTGAATGAGTGTGAGAGAAACACCATTGTTTTCCCATTAATTCATTAGTCACAGTCATGGATTCATGGTACGGCCATGTTCTGGCTTCCAGAATCTCTTAAAAGCACCATCGGAAGTTTTGAAGGGCAAATAAAAACCCAGAGAATGAAGGAATGAGGTCCTCAACTCAAGAATTTGCTTTCAAGATCATATCTGAATTTCTACTTTTTATAGACAAATATCCTTTCACATGGTCTCTAAGAGAGTAGGCACCTGGTAGCCCTCCAGATGCTGCTGAACACATGTTCCATCCTTCATAGCTGGCCATGTGGATGAAGGTGTCTGGAAGATGTAGTTTGGCCACATCCTGAGAGCCCCTCAACTGCTTTCTTCTTTACCAACCTCATTTAGAAAGCAAGGGGAGTTTTCAGATCATAGGTGAAGCCCTGGGAAGACTGGGGAGGACTGGATCAAAGAATTAATACTGTATTATGATTAGGAACGGACGCCAGCATTCCTGTCCACATCAACAACATTTGCCAACGCAACTATGTCACTGTGGAAGGGGGCCGCAGATTGAAACCTACCAACCTGGGCATTGTTTTGGTGCATGGCTACTACAAAATAGGTAACGTGGCATTTTGTGGTGGGGGAAGGACAGCGCTAGGGAAATTGAAGGAGAAGTGTGGCCGAGGCCCAATTATTTGAGGGCTCCTCTATTTTCCATAGGTCTGCCCATCCTGTAAGTTCGGGTAGAGTGGGTGCCCTTTGGGTCTCCTTAATTAAGCAGTGCCATCTATCAGGACCCAGGAAGCGTGTCTTCTCTGTCCTGGCATCTGCCCTCTGGAATGAAATACCTCGCATTGGACACAGTGAAACCAACAAGTGTAATCTAGGACAGCGTTTCTCATACTTGGCCACTTTAAGATGTGTGGCCTTCAACTCCCAGAATTCCCCAGCCAGCAT